GATGACGCAATCTACAATTATATTTGTTTCAAGGACGGTTAATTAATTTACGACTTATTTGTGGTCGCCTTAATTGATATATACAATAATCAGAGGGCTGAATTATAATGAGCGCCTTTAATTTATTCCGCTTTACGCCCGTTAGCAAAAAAATCCCATCAAATTGAGTAGCATTTTTATGCTTTCCGATAACTATTTTGACAAAAGAGGTTGGTTGTCGTACAAAAAGTGGAATAATCACGGCTGTTGGCTACCGCGATCCGTCACTTAATTTACTCTTCAGATATGAAAGGCGACAAAGGGAAGGCCGAAAGTTAATCGCCACTGCCATTTATCTATAACTACTATGTCGTTCAAAAGTAAACCTTAAGAAATTGTGCCCACCATGCAATTTCCGAGCACTGGAGGCGTTATAAAAATCGAACTGGCTACCGTAGGCGACAGTGAGAGATACCGCTGAGTGAAGCTACGTCGTAAAACATCATTAGCAAGATAAAATCCCTAAAAGCATCAAAGGAACTGTGTGAGCAGGAAGTTACGACACTCAGCCTTACCTTATGCTTACTTCTTGATTAATGTATAATAACAACGATGTGCCGAGTCAAATAGAGGTTCATATAAATTACAATTGAAAATCATATTCAAACGCGAACATTTTACGTTCGGGATCATCTAATTTTGTACAATTTAATGGGTCAGCGTTACAAGCAAAATAGATTCATCATTTTGTTGTACTATCCACAAAAAACATTAACAAAACAGTAATTTCCAACGTGTCTGTTAAACAAACAATCGTAAACAAAATTATTGTGTCCGGGAAGTTAGTGTGCTATCTTAAAAACAGAAGCAACAAGAAGACAAAAGAATGACGATGTTAGAAAACTTAATTTTACACCCGAATCAAAAACCTCCACCCGTATTGTGTTGGTATGGTGCTAACCAATTTCTCTTTTGTTGTGACCCCGCCCACGTTTATTATCAGATACCTTCGTGGCATGTCATTTTTTATCAAAACAATAACCTTTTTATAATAAAAAAGAACACACGGGTCACACGTACGATAAGTAAGAGATGAATTTGTCAGAAGCTTTTACAATCGAATCAAAGATAATTTACGTGGACGTATAAATTAGGAAGCCGTGGGTGGATATTTCTTGGAACTCTTAACAAAAGAATAATTGAACTCTTTAGTTGGATAGTGTTCGTTTTGTAATGAAGCTAGTTATGTCGATAGTATGTTGCTCTTCTAAGCGTTTTGGTTATTTTTGCCCTTTTTTAAAAAAACGGTCGTCGTAGTTAATGGAAACAAAGTAATCACGATAAAATTAAATTTATAAAATAAAGACGTGATAACTGTAAGTAGCGATAATGTATGGTTATTGATTTTTGAATATTCCGGTCTTCTTGTATAAACACTGATTGCGCGCAAATTCTGTTATCTTTACTATTACCTTCTTATTATGATCCTATAAAAAGTATTCGAAACTTCGGGTAGTAAGTTTGAAGTAAATGCGATAAATCCGTAGAAAAAAAGTTGTATTTAATAATGGCTCACATTCCCTTATGAGTAAATGAAGTTTTCTTAGTTTTATGATTGTTGTACATTAAGATTGAAACATGGAATTATCCGTGTACGCAAGGGTTGAAACAAATTAGAAAGCCATTAATAAGCATGAATAACTGTCATTTGTCACAAAAAACTGCGTTCTGTGGCAAATAAAAAATAATGTCAGTTTATCCACCCACATTGGTTATAAATTAATAGAATCTGCCCCCATCCCGGTGACGTATAATAACAGTTGATTGGTCTCGTGTGAGGTATTTTTTTTAGATCTTCCTCAGAATCGGTGACCGACGTTGCTAAATCCACTATGGGGGTAATAAAGATGATAAAGATTAGAAAGCTTTTGTATTTCATCTCTTCATTTTATCAACTAACTTAATAACCCCATGTCGCTTAAAAAACAGTTCCATACAAACGATTTTACTTTTGCACTATAAGCGTACATAGAATATTTGAAATCCATAGTATTTTGTTTCGGCACCTGTCATTTATACAGGAAAAAGATTAATTTTTTATGCTAATATCTACACTCAAGATGAGACATTAATGTGGAGAACAAATGGACGAAAAGTTTTTCGTCTGCGGCTGCGGGAATCGAACCCACGTGTTCTGGATTTCAGCCCAGACGCTTTGGCCATGAAGCTAAACGGCCGATTGCCATACCGACAAAAATATTTTATCATATTTTATTTTAAAATTTCTGTAGAAAAAGGAACGAAAAGTATCTCACCGCCGTGCTGTGGGAATCGATCCCAGGTCTTCGGGATTCGCACCCCGACGCTCTAGCCACTAAGCTAAACGGCTGTTGCCAAATTTTATTTTATCAACACTGTTTTGAAAACAATGTAGATTAAGTTGAGATTTTCGTCGGTGTGGCAATCAGACGTTTGTGATCAGTTAAAAAACTAACATCTTAATTCCGATTTAAATGTTTCTGAATAATGTCATTAGTATATGTGTTTATATTCGGCTTAAAGAATTTATTTCCCAAAAGAACATTACATAGTTTAATTTAGATGAGAAACTACTAAATTAAATGCGTTTATGTTCGATTGTATAAACATCTCAATGGAGGCTTAGAGGATCTGGAAGTTATCAAACAGCATGAAGTTGAAGGTTGAAATTTAGTCTCGAAAACGCTTTCAAACGGAACCACTCTTTTCAAACGAAGTTTGTTATTTCCTATTTTGGATACTTATTGAAAAGTTTTCCCTTGCACAACAGTGTATCTATGCTTACTCTGTTGCTGTGGTGACAGTTTCGTATTCTTTAAAAGTAAAGTAAGTAACAGCCTATACATGTCTCACTGCTGGGCAAAGGCCTCTATACAGAGGGTATCAGAGCATAGTCCACCACGCGGCCCCCGTGGATTGGCGGACTTCACATATCTTCGAAATACATTTTTTGTTATTGTTTCGTAAATATGCAGGTTTCCTCACGATGTTTTCTTTCACCGCGGAGCACGTGATAATTCAGCACTTAAAGTTAAAAACTTCATTGGTGCCGGCACCGGAGATCGAACTCAGATTGATCGAGTATATATTGAATTAAAGGCGAGTGCCCGGACACTGAGCTATCACCGCTTGTATCTTTCATTGGCATTGTATTCTTTAATTATACGTTATAGAAGCAAAAAAATCAAATTCTAATTTACTAGCCAGATGTTTAATGAGTATATTAGACATTAATTATAATTTTCGAGGTCAGTGTTTCATCCCAGACAGTGCTAGAGTTAATTTATCATCCTTACCTTGATTACTTGTCGGTATCCTAAGCCTGAAAAATAGCAATGTAATTCTTTTGTAAATTCTATGTTTTAAAGAGTAATTGCAAATTAAAATTAAAATATCTTTTATTCAATACCTATATCATCACACTCACTTATTGATTTGCAAAATACAACTACCGGTTTGCACATGACAAAATATTGCAAATACGATATAAATTGCAGTTTATTATTCATTAAATGACGAATTCTTTAAAAGTTTTGTATTCTATGAGTTAAAGGCTATGATTCACTTGCCAATAGTTTGCATGATTTACTTTTAAGTTTTTATTTGATACCTTTCGCATGATAAACTTGTCATGTCTAATTGTACGATGAGTTCGCTCAATCCTATTTAAAGGTCCAAAACAACTATTTGTGAGTTTTTCAAATATTATGTATTATTATTAGAATCAATCTTGGGATCCGCGACACCAAAGCCAGCAGGTTAGATTCTGCACCAATGGAGCCATCAGATAATTTTTTCTGATTTTTTTCTATCTGTTGTTTTTGTTTTATGCACGGTTCAAACTATTTATGTATGCAGAATAAAATATATTTATTAATTTTTAAATTTTAAGTTAGAAGAAAGTTCACACTGGTGTTATTAAACCTACAATCCATTGTAGGTTTAATAAATTTTCTCCACCGGAAAATGTGAAAATAAAAATGGAATTATGGTCACGCCGTACGTAGTAATATATAAAGAAAATAAGTATAAGTAAGTTGTTAAAATGTTTTTTTTGTTTTTTTATGTGTGGAAAGAGTTACGGCAAAAAAGTAATATAGTTAACTACAAATTTATCATTTTATCAAGAAACAAAGAAAAATATATAAACTAGCAACAAAAAACAAATTATTAGTTATCCTTTAAAAACTAAATATTTGTACAAATTGTGTTAATTAATTTAAACTTTGAATTTAATCTTTTTTCATGAAGCCCCTATTTTTAAGTATAATATACGAATAAAAATTTTGTTTATCTTACGAAATAACAAGACAGTCATAATATTTGAATCAAAATACTAGTACATTAATTAATGTAATTAAATGACAATAATAATATCAATTATTATATACATATAATATGTAACAACAATATAATTATATACAATGTATATATTTCAATACTTGTCATATTAGTATAAATGCTATTAAAAAGGGGTAAAAGAAAGAAAAATTGTAATAAATAATTTAATATCGTCGCCCAAAAACGCTTTTCAATATTTACAATGGCTAAGTAATAAAGGAAATTACAAGCCTTATCACCAGTGTCCACGAGGGTAACAATGTACTATGTAGAGTCTCACGCGCACTGACTGTGTATCATGTGACAGCTTTCACTTATTAGCTAAAAGTTTATCATTAAGGCACTATGGTATGACTAGATACATTGAGAGTCTTTTCGTCTTCGCAAATAATGCGGTACAATTAAATTAATGCACATTATTTCGGAGGGATTCGTCCAAACTCGATTCCGAACGGCTACCTGTGAAAAGAAAACAAAAGTTAAGTCACATTTATCGTAAGCATGTTACTAAAAAAGATGATAACATAATCCATATAAAATTCTTTTTGAAAAACTTTCTTATTTAACAGTCAGTTGAGTTATATTAATTTCAATTTTTATTAGAATAGTACCGGTGTAATTAATTGGAACTTACGTCGTTATTTCTGCTGCCACCAGGAGATGACGTCTAATAGCTCGTCCTCGTCCATGGGTCCAAGCTGCTGTTGGGTCGATACCTCGTATCGGTCCACTGCCGAGTACGCCGATGACACACCCGATGAACATTCAGAGGGGGCGGGGGAGTCCGCTTTTTCGGAGCACGGCGAATCGTTGCCGTAGAAAAACCCGTCGTCCATGTCCATCGAGGTCGCAGTCTGGCTGTTACTGCTGGGAATGTTCTCCCTGTTTTCCTGATCGCGTGTAATGCCTAGAGCGGCATCGCTCTCCTCCAGCAGCTGTTGGAGGTACCTTATGTATTCAACCACCATTCTAAGGGTGTCTACTTTGCTCAGCTTCTTCCCGGAGCCTCTTCTGGCGCCACCCGACAGGGCGGCGACGACGGACGCGGGCAGGTGACGTCGCAACGCGTTGAAGCCGTCGTTTACTTGTTTCACACGATTGCGCTCGCGGGCGTTGCGTCTCGCTATCGATGCGGCCTGCGGCCCCGTGTAGGGGTTAGTCCTGAAGTGCACTTTCTTGCGGTACTGCAGACTCGGTGGCGTGTCGTGCGTCACGTAGTTTTTCTCGGGCGCCGGGGCGATGGGCACCATCCGCTTTTCGGTGGGCGCCTTGGTGACAGTGGCCGAAGGGTAGCCGGACGAGACCACCACGTAGTTGGCCTGGCCCTGGACTAGTTGGATTTCTTGCAGCATGTTGCGTGCACGACGCGCGGCCGCGGGCGATCTGCGCGCACGACCGGTCCGCTCGGTGGGCGGAAAAGCACTGGCGCGATAGAGGGAGGCTTCGCTAGAGCTTTCGGCGGCGTGCGAGAGCGAGCGGCGGCGATGGAGCTTCACGCACAAGTGAGCCGGCGGCGCACGCGCACGCGTTATATCACCTGCGCCGGCTGCAAAAAATATAAATTTTAAAATTCTCTTCCCCTATTATTTTCCATCATCCCTTCCCCTTTGTACGTACGGGTCCGTACCTGGTGTGGTAGTTAGGGGAGAGCTGCAGGGCGCGGGGGGAGGGAGCTAACGCGTGCCCACTTTTTCTACTGACCACTGAATACGTAAACGAATGAAAAGACGTTGGGCTTATAAGAACTTTTCTATTATAAGAATAAGGAGTAATTTTAAAAGTTTCTTTCGTTGTAATTACTTAAAATGCCTTATTTAAGACAAATTTCGCTATCATTTAAAACACATAGTGGTAGCTCAAGAAGTCTTATGTCTAGTAGTTGGACAAAGGAATAGTGATCTCATTTGCCGTTTCAAATTCTTATGGCTTGAAACAATGAAATTAAAATTTTCAGGATATTTACCAGCAAATTTAATTTATAATTTTATCAACAGTTAGAGTTTGAGAATTATTAAGATAGAATTTTATATAACGCTCCCAGCAATTTATTATCTCTACATTAAGAATACGAGTAACTATTTGCTATATTAAAATAAAATTTTACAAAATTTTTTCTCTCTCTGAAGACATAATTATTTATCGATTAATTGTTGAGTTTATATATTTTTTTTCTTGAATAAACGTGATTATAAACATTTACGAATATTGTCTGATATAAATTGAAATACAATATATATAACGTACTCGCTTCAGCACCCCTCATTAACCAACGTGATCAAAATTCCCCTTATCAAAATACCTTTTCGTACCAAACTCCAATAAAGTGCGTTGATTATGTCATGTCTTTAGAGTCGTTGGTCGTGAGTCGGCCTAGGCTTCTTGGTTCTCTGACGATTCTCAGCGATTAGTTAACTTAAAGCGACTCACCAATATTACGCTTCGGAATAATGTATGTGGGAAAAATATTGTGGGTCCGAACATTCCCGGAGGTTCGTATGCACGTGAGCCAGCCGCCGGAGCGACAGCGCTGGAATGCGTACTAAAGTTAACCGAAACAGTTTCTTTCAATTAGGGCCGTGGCGAATACTCCACGAGTTGTGCATCTCGTAATCAATCCGTTTTATGTGTTGGCCCTTCGATCAAAGCCCCGCGCCGGCTTCCGTCGACGATTGCGCTAATTTAATAACTCTTACGCAATTCGTCGGGCTCGACTAATTTATATGAAATGGTGTTTCAAACGGTAGTGGTTTTCATTAGCGGGCACTTAGTAACGGGATCGGGCTTTGATTCGTCTGATAAGCGGTTTATTGGGCGTAACGGAATTTCTGTGGGCACCCGTTTCGTTTACGAAGTTTAGCTTCTGTTCGATAAATGCCCGCGCCGGAGTTATGAGTTATGGCGAAGAATGCTACTTTTTAAATTAAGGATGCTGTGGAGCGGTCATGATATTTTCACGCGGCAGGTGGACTATGAAAGCGATCAATAGAGTTATGTAATTGAATGCTATGGCGACAGTAAAAGTTTCTAACTGTCGCTATTACTAAATATCATTTATTACTGAAAGTAGGGATTCTGATGCCCATTTTAAATTGCCTTTTTTAAATTTATGTAAAGCTTTCCTCGTCATGTTTTCTTTCATAGCTGAACACATGATATGTCAACAGTTAAAGTTGTAATGAACAAATTCATTGGTGCCACCACCGGGAATTGAACTAAGGTTGTTCGAGTATATGGCATTAAAGGCAAGCGCCCCGACAATAAGCTATCACTCGAACCTTATCATATACGATTAAATTGGTCAGGATAACAATTTATGGTCGGAGTCATCTTGTGGGGTTAGACCCCGTGATTTGTACCGGATATGACCTGCGGAGAAGTGCTAATGGGTTCCGAAAAAGAGCGTTTTTTTATCCTGTTAAAATATTACGTGTAATCTATGGATCAGCTCATTGTTCCATAGGGCTGAATGAGTAAGGGTATTGGATCAATAAGAAAATATGAAGGGTGTTCACCCCTTTTCAATACAGTTACAGCGATGATGCATGTCATGCGATTAATCGGTGTGTACTTTAACGATTTTGAATACAAATATAATAAAAAAAAATGTTTGAAGCCAGACGAAAGCTAAATAACGTTAAATAGTTTTTTAACAATGTTTTATTTAACATAAAGATTTTTGCGAAGGTTACAATTACTACAAAAAGGTGCATAATTGTTGTTAAGCATGTAAAATCAATGATTAGTATATGCTATATATATGTATATTCACTACTATACATTTGGAAAATTAGTAAGCGCCGTGAAAATGAATACTTAAGAGGTACTCATTATTTAAGGCTCCTTATATGGAAAAGTTAAAATTTTAATTTCTTCGATATTTTTCGTATAATTACTTCCATTTGGTGCGTGTGACATTAATGTAGCCTAATTTATCTGTGGTATACATACGTATAGTTCGTATGTATGTTGTTAAATGTAGTACTCATGTCGTTACTTTTTTATTACTATTATTAGCTTTGCTTTCTTCAGATTTAACCGATTGACGTAAACTTACAGTTTGTCCGATAATTTCGTGAAACAAAGTTACATCCGGATATACTTAATAGGTATTCCCATTACAGTACTGCTTATACAGAAGTTCTTTGCGAAATCAACTGTCGCACAATCAATCGCTTTCTGCCCACCATAATAATTAATAAAGTTAGGGGAAAAACAAAAAGGCCAAGAACAAATTTAACGATGAATAGAATAAACTTTTCCAGGAGTATTTGAATATATATATATATATATATATATATATATATATATATATATATATATATATATATATATAGAGCCGTGATAGCTCAGTGTCCGGGCGCTCGCCTTTAATTCAATATACTCGAGCAACCTGAGTTCGATCCCCGGTGCCGGCACCAATGAAGTTTTTAACTTTAAGTGCTGATTTATCACGTACTCCGCGGTGAAGGAAAACATCGTGAGGAAACCTGCATATTTTCGAAATAATAACAAAAAATATTTCGAAGATATGTGAAGTCCGCCAATCCGCAGTGGGGCCGCGTGGTGGACTATGCCCTGATACCCTCTGTATAGAGGAGGCCTTTGCCCAGCAGTGGGACATGTATAGGCTGTTACTTTACTTTTTTTATATATATAATATATATATACATAACCTGAACAGTGACGGTGGTAGGGCCACGCAGCAGCCTTGGCTGTTGCACGAATGGGTATGCTCGTCCGGGTAAGTACCATGACCATACAGAAGTCGGGCGTGAGGTGGCCGGAGCCCAATTTTCAAAAGGTTGTCAACGCATCTGCAACCTTCGGGTGTAGAAGATATCCATGGGGGGCGGTATTCACTTAACATTAGGTGAACTGTCTGCCCGCTTGGCAACTTGTCACATAAAAAAAATGTGAATGTCACGGGCGTATTTCATGGGCATTTTTGATCACACGGATGGGGTGTTCTTTGATGGACGGTATATTTAAAAATGTGAATAATGATAGGACATATTTCACCGATTAACGCTTGATCAGGTCAATACAAATTACATTATTCATGGTCTCGCAATTCCAATAAGAGTATTTCGATTCGTATTGTAAAGAACGCATAGTTTAGTCGCCACCCACGTGTTTTAAGAAGGTCGTCTCATTTTATTTTCTTCGGTACAATAGTATCGTTAGTAGGGTCTTTTGTAAGCAATTTTTAACATGTTAATAATGCCGCTTAAAACGTACTGTCTTTTTTCTAGCAATATAATGTCCTTGATATTCGTTATTCGTGAAGAGGCGTCATTTGTTGTAATATTAAAGTAATTTATTAAAAAAAGTAAAGTAACAGCCTATATACTGTTGGAGAAAGACCTTCTTGGTAGAGGAGGTACAAGATCTATCTCTCGAAATATTTTTTCTATGAAAGATTATTTTTAAAATTCTTCGCGCTATATCGGCTCGAAGTCCATAATAATCTTAATTTAAATTATATATACGTTATATGAGCATCAGCACAATTTTTCGGATTCAATGAAAATGTAACATATGCGTGTTATGTAACGCTTATTGCAATTATTGCTAACACTCCAATAATTTGATGGTGTTTGTGCAATAATTTCGAACTGTCATAACAAACGGTAGTTATTTCGCCGCCCGTTGAGCAATTAAGATAAAATTAGTTTACGTTATCCGACTGTAAGCCGGCTACCTCATAACGAGCGCGCGCGGTCCCGTTACCAGTTGTAAAAGACAAACAGCTGATGCATACAAAAGTGCTTGTTTTAAAGGAGAATTATCGAAACGCATTCAAACACATCTGTTCCTGATCTTTCTTTAATTGAAAATCGCTTAGTGATTTCTCGTCCTTTTAGTTGCTGCACGCGTTGCTTATTACGCTCGTTTCGACTTAAACGGAAATATACGATCGCAATAAAGACGAAATTATTGATGGCGCCGAATTTGTTTAAATGCACAGTAATACGAACCTGTTCAAAAAGGTTTAATGCAACGGGTGATATTATTTTTCGAAATTCGGCTCGTAAATTTTTTTTCGAACTCTGATAACATTAAAAAAACGAGCGTTTCATAATGCTGTACTTTGAAAATTTTACCGTTGTTATGTTTAGTTAATTAGGTTGATCTTTAAATGATTTTTATTAGGATATAAGTTGAAGTCGTCATACCTGTACATAAACCATAAATATCTAAGTCAATGTTGGTCAACATCGACTACACTAGATACTAGAGAAAAGTTTTGTTTCATAAAACTCTTCAATTATCGACTTATCGACTACAAAAACGACAAAATTGTCTAATACGTGTATTTTATTAAATATTAATTGGTACCAGATTTTACCGACCCGTAAAGTCCGCTATTTTTATACCTATTAATGAAAAAGGTGTTTGCAATAAATAAAAAACACAGAACACGTTAGCGATGAGCTGCAATTAGTCGTGTTACAGCGGATATTAGGTGACGTTCACTATTTGTTGTTCGGGTAATTACTCGCTGTAAATAAAACAATTGCTTTTAATACGACAGAGATGCGGAGCGACGTGGGATTCGGGGTGAGTCCGGTGACGATGATTATGGGAACAGTGTCATCTGCTCCTTTTCATTTACGCATCACTGGTGTGGGAGCGTACTATTGTTGATAGTAAATCGACACAATATAACGAGTTAGTATACTTTTTAAAGGGAAATGGTTTGCTAGGAGTGCAATTATTTCAGAGTTATTTCATGTATTCTTTTCAAATTTAAATAGTTGATTTAGTAATTGACTCCTTCTTTCTTCGTGATTAGCTTGGAGCTAATGAGATTGGAGCTACATAAACAGCTACGATAAATGGAAATTAAACAAAAAATGCCAACACTGACTTGCTTGTTTGGTTTAGTAGCAACGTTTTAATAAATCTCACGAGTGTTTCTTAGTCACCCACCGGTAGCTTGTTAACTACCAGTCGCTTGTCATATTGAAATTTAGGCCTCTCATTAATTTCATATTTAAAAATTACGCTGGCCTATAAATCACCGGCGTTAAAGGTTGCCGACGACGAGCGCACAATACAACTACCTGATTCGTATCAAATGTCGATTGATTAACGATATGTTGAGTGACTCCTATTCATGGTAACATCAAAGGGTGATGTTTAAACATTAATACAGGGAATTTTTCACCCAAGCTCGGCTGATCGGGTACAAAAGAACCCTAGCCTATTAATGCCGCTACACAGGGACCAGGCGATGAGTTGCGGTTACTTTTGACGTAT